CTTCTCAACGACCTCCCACGCATTATGTGATCCGAGCAGTGACTTTATTTGAATGCACCAATTTCCATAGTTTTCTTTTGTAAGACAAGAAAATTGAGGTTGGAACATCATACTTGAGGACGTCATACTTTACAAACCTCTCTCCGATACCAATTTGCTGGAAATTATGTGCAAGCTTTGGTACAAATTTAATTAAAATTGCATGACAAAACACAATAAAATGGAATCAAGAATAATATTGCAGAACATTACAGATAGGAAGCTCTTTTACAGACCGCTCACTTCTTGCTTTTCTTCGTTGATTCCTCACTTACATATTCCCACGACCTCTATTAGTGCATTACATTTGTACTTCTTTTTTTTACACACACACAAATGAGAGACATAAGCCCTTTCTATAAAACTTTTAGCCGCCATACTATGTTGTGTAGAAAGGTCTTCCACCATTATATTACATTGCATAGGATGGTCCACAAGCTTCTAACCGCCATTGACTAGTCTTCTAAAACATGTTTTCATGAGAAGCGGTAGGAAGATGTGGAATAGTGTGGAAGAAGGAAAGTCGGTGAGAGATTTTTATAGAGAGAAAAATGGTGGGTTGATGCTTTGATGATCTCAGTAATTGGAATTAAGACATGTTTTTTGGACATATTGGTGTAAGTATCAGGAAGTCAAGGCTGCGCTTGTCAGAATTTCATGACCTTCTTCACTTTGATCCACTAAATGTTCCCTTTTTCAAGAGGAGAAGGAGTGTACAACTCATTTACATCGACTTCTTTAGTATGAGGAAAGCTTGTGGTGGAAAAAATCTAGAGAATTTGGTTAAAGGATGGCGATTCGAACACAAATTTTTCATTTGTCTACATTGGTCAAACGCAAGAATGATTGGATTCCGTTTCTTAAGGAATCGTAGACAATGAGGAGGTGAATCAACATATTATTTCTATCTTTGAAGACGTACTGACCTCTTCTCTGTACCCATACATAGCCCGCAAATTGCTTCTGAATTCCTCCTAGATTAACAACTATCAGACCTCCAAAAGAATGAGTTGGTTACAAAAGTTATGCCAGGAGAAATCAAAACTTGCATCAAAATATGAAAAATGAGAGCGTCGGCAGTTCGGATGGCTTCAGAGTGGAATTTTAGAAATTTGCTTGGGACATTATTAAAAGGTGATCTTTTTATGGCCCTCATGGACCTTTTAAAAAGGGGCAAGTTGATAAAGAGATCAATTCAAACCTCCATAGGTTTAATTCTAAAAATTAAATTCCCTAATAAGATGAAGGATTTTAGACCTATTAGACTTTGTAATATGCTTTATAAAAATAATTAGTAAAATTATTGCAAGAAGTTTATGGATGGTTCTTAATGATTTTATTCACCCCTACCAGGCAGAGTTTTTTAAAGAAATAATTATTATAGACAATATACTTATGGTCAATGAACTATGCCTCTCTGCCATAGAGAAAGTGTCAACACAAAGGTGTGTCTTCAACTCAACCTCAACTATGTTTACGACCGGGTATCTTGGAATTTTATTTTGGATAGGTTACAAGCTTTAGGTTTCTCTTAGCTTTTCATTTCCTGGGTTCATCACGAAGTCTCTATTCTTTGCTTTTCTGTTATGCGCAATGATTCTCCAAGGGGTTTCTTTAAGGGGAAGAGATGATTGCATCAAGCGAATCCACTTTCGCCTTATTTACTTCTTTTGATTATCGATTATCTTAGTAGGATTTTGGATGCAACCACCCTGCATAAGGCTTCCCTTCAGGATGAAACTATGGAGCTAACAATTGTTTTATGTGGATGTGCCCTAATTTTCAAAGAGGCCTCCGATCATTCTGCCTGCACACAAAAAATCATTTTACCCAAATTTTAGAGTGCCACCAGCCAACAGTTCAATGATGCTAAAAGAAAGACGCTTTTCTTTGGGGTAAATAATGGCATGAGATCTAGAATGATAGACCTTGGTTTTAGGATAGGCGCCTTGTCATTGAAATATTTAGGCCGCCTTGTCATTGAAATATTTAGACCAACCTCTTTTTCAAGGATCTCTAAAGCATTTCCATTGTCATAACCTATTGGGAAAGCTATTGGCAAAATTGGCCCTTTGGCAGGCTTTGTCTCTCTCCTTTGCAGGCCGTTTACAGCTCCCTAAGTTTGTGCTCTGTGTTTTGTCTATTTACTACATTTTATTTTTTCTGCTCCCTAGAAGAACTTGTCCAATGATAGAGAAAATGCATCTTAATTTCTTGTGGGCATGTACAACTGAACAAAAGGGACTTTAAATTATTAACTGGAAGACTATTTTGCCACCTCCTAAAAGATAAGGGTCTGGGTCCATATCATGATTGAGTTCAATTTGACAACGATGGTGAAATTGGCTTGGAAAATAGTGACTGTCAGGTTCTTCAAACATAGATATGTTTGGAATTCGTCAATCTGTTTTTTGTAGACGCAGTGTATCTTCACACTCCTGGAAAGACATCATGAGAGGATTTCATTGCCTTAAAAATATTTGGTCAAAAAATAATAATAATGGGAGATGGGTCATGGGTAATCGTGCTCTAATGGATTTTTGGGCTGATTGTTTGGATTTTTGGGCTGATCGTTGGCTTTCTGAGGATTATATCTGGGATTTATTTAGCTTGAGTATTCAAAATGAATTGGGCGGTTATGCCAAGTTAAAAGTCGAAGATAATCAGCAGGGCTCTCCACAAACATGGAATCTCCCTGAACCCACTTCAAATCCCCTAAATTCATCATATGTTTTACCTAAGCATCTTGAAGATGATTTTTTTGGTTTGGATACATTTCCCCCATGATCATTTCTCTGTCAAAGGAGCATGAGAAATCATTAGAAGCAGAGGTGCTCCAAATACACTTTCAAAAGGCTTCTCACTCTCATCCAAGAGCAAAATAGTTTTCTTGGTCGACTCCTCATCAACGCCTTCCCACTATATCCCTCCTGCAGTCTAGAGGGATTTCCCTGGTCTCTCGATATCGTATTTGCCTCCAGGCTGGGGAGGATGATAACCATTTTATTACATAAGTGAACTTTTTCTACAGGTTTTATGGTGGTCATTAGCTTGGCTTTACAAAAGCAAGTTCATGGCTGCGGCACATTCTATCATGGTGATGTTTCCCAAGTGGATTAGATTTCAATTTAAACATGATGGTTTGTGACAAGTGTGGACTACCCTTTTTACTACCTCTATTTGGTTCCTCTGGACAAAGCAAAATAAGCGTCTAGTGGGAGGTATTCACACAGGATGAGAATCGTTGCCCAACAAAACAATCCTACACTTGAGAGATCAAGTTGTTGCCAAATCGTGGTCCTTTCACCCATATGATAAAATGATTGTGCCAAATCTAAACATCCCATGGCAAGAGCAAAAATCTGAGGCAAATTTGATGGTTTCATGGAATCCTCCTCCTGCAAGCTCTTTCAAGCTAAATGTATATGGTGCTTTAGAATGGAATGTTGGTGCTGCAGGCCATGGGCGGGGTGGAGAGTGTGGGGGGCATTCTTAGAGATGACATCTAACGACTATGTAGAGCTTGTCTTTGGAGACGGGGATTCATTTAGCTATTCAACTTAAATGTTTTCCATTACATATTGAGGGGCTCCTAGTTAAGACCATTCATAGGCATTACGAGCCCCATGGAGTCCTCATATCTCTGCGACTAATTGTCCCCACAAACTATCCTCTAATGGACAAACAATGGACTATTTCACATGGAGTCCATTATAGATGCGGATTGTTTGTTCAAGAGGGTTGTGACCTTATTAGGAGCTACCTATAGACAGCTCGCCCCCCCCCCCCCCCCCTCCCCCAAGATTTTTTATCATGTCTTTTTTATGATGCAGCATGAGGTTCGCAAGTGATAGATGTAAATTAGATTGTGCATTGTATTTTACTCATCTTTCTATTTTAAGAAAATTGTTAAGGACCCAAATCCCCATTGACATGCTCAAAAAATAAATAAATAAATAAAAACCAGCACTTCGACTGTGCATGAAAAAAATAATGCCACAAGATTCCAATTGAGATTTAAGTTTTTAAACTCAAAATCTGAATTGTTTTTCTGGAAAATACCATCTGCTAGTTACTAGGTGGATTGCAAATTTTCATATCAAAAGAAATGGTATCCCTTCTCACCTGAAGGAGTCAGTTCACAATTTCTATACGAGCATACCCTAAACAAACCAAAATTTGTTATGCTTCCAAGCGCCATCTATGTGACAAGACATGGGAGGCCCATTCACAAAGCCCCTCTATGCATGTTTGTTTTGAAGGAGACCTTAGGCCCATGTAAACTCCACAAACAAGAGGTTCATCACATTCCACTCAATGGTTGCATAATTATAGAGATAAATACGGACCAGAATGTAGCACGACTCCAATAGCGAGTCCCATTCTCTCCATCACCGTCCAGCCTCAAGGATGTGGCACATCTGCTGTTCATTCTTCCCATCACCTTCCAGGCTTTGGGACCTTGTACATTTATAGGTTTAATGGACAATTCAAATTTACACAAAGTTGAATGGACTCTTTCCCATCTTACAACCCTCCTGATATCATTCTTTTCATGATCTACAATAAGGAAGGACCCTCAATGGGTTCCTTAGGCTTTTGTTTAGTAGAAAACACTTCCTTAAGCTTTAGCTTAGTAGAAGACATTGATTTGGGTGAGAAAGCCAGGGGCACATACCCTTGAAGTTTGTCTCAAAAAAACCAAACAAGCTGACCTAATCCCTTACTCTTTTCTTTTTTCTTTCCTTTTTTTTGTCTTTTGCCTAAAACACGAGCCCCATGGAATCATTCATTCACAATTTGATGCGCATTAAATAATAGCCCTATATGACATTTATCCACCTCTGCTTTCCTAATTTCCTAAAATAACTTGCATAGAGGCAAAGCAACGTATATCCCAGCCAAGCACACTCCCTTGTCAGAACTGCATAATAATGAAATCATTGCTATCATCACAAAGGTTGAATGTTAGTACCATTTTCCTCCTTTCAATATGACAATTATCACGTTTGAAGTTGGCCTTGAGTAGGATGCGTATATGGTTCTCAGAATAGCAAAATCATGCATTGCACATCAACATGCCACTTCCTACACTCGAAGAATCGGAATGATATGAATGAACATTCTTGTTCGCATTTACATGCATTGCACATCCTCCTTGTTGCCAATAGAATCAAGGGCATACTAGTGAAAATTTTTTCAAATGCAACAATGTTTGTACATGCTTGACTGAAGCCATATCTCTTTCTTTAGGCACAAGAAGTAGACCACATTTCTCCTCTCAACCTAAATAAGCAGGAAACATGAAACAAGATTCTCACAATAATGCGATCGTCCTATCATCTCCTGCTGGCAGAGTTCCAGACCACCTAGTTGCCGTCAAAGCTTTTCTGTCGGGGTAATTCCAATCTTGTAATTGTGCACGAATATCTAACCAAACTGTTCTCCAAACAAAAATCAAATGCTTTTTTTTTTCTGCTGTCCTATCAAACTAATGCTCTGCAATGATTTCTGAAAACTTTAAGAAGTATCCCAATGCCTATTATACTATGCTAGCCGAAGTAGAAACTCAGGATATATCTTGTGGGGTTGAAACCGCTGAGGACCACTGCAAGAACAAGAACAGTCATTCCATAAGCCAATGGAATTTTGAAGTGAAACCTAAAAGAGGGCTTATACTTACAGAGAGCTGAGAGAATGATGACAACTCCAATAGGATACAAGAAGAATGTGGTCTTCTCCAAGAAGGGCAGAACTGCAGAAACACACACAGGGCACCAAAGTAACCTAAATCCTGTAACAATTTCTCTTTTGAAGACTGCTTCATGAGATGTAATTGCTAAATAAGACTCCAATTTTTTACTTACCGTCATACCCTAAAAAGTTGAGGTAGTGGTAGTAAGACGCAGCCACCATGAAAAGCAAGTTTGAGAGAAGTGCAGGAAGGATCCCATGGGCCACTAACAAAGGTGATATGAAGTAGTGAATCACTGGATGCAGCCAAAGAGATGAAATGTAAGAGGGAAGATGCATGAAGAGAAACCACCATTCCACCAACAGAATCAAAGAACTGGTGTACTGAAGGAACATTACCATACAGGGCAACAAAGACAGGGAAGAAGGAGTTGCAGTGCACGTCAAATGCATAGAGCCTTTCGCAAAAAATTAGAGTGTTAATTAACGAAATTTATCTGATATTTAACAATAAAAAATTTGAAATGAAACGATTGTAAAGATGAGATCAAGGAAAAGAGAATCATTATTTACCCAAAAAAAAATAATCCTGAAGATTTTTGTGTCAAGATATCTCTAAGCATGAACTGAAGATAAAATTTCTGCATGCCAGATTGGGGCTCAAAAGCATATAAATATCAGTGCAGAGAAAGTTCTTCGGTTAAAAACCTGTCTAGAACAAAAGAATGTGGCACTATTCCAGGAAAAGCTCATCCAAAACACAGGGAAAAAAAAAAACTCTTTTACAAGGTTCTATGAGATTTAAAGCATATTTTTCACTTTCATAGCTTTGACTATATTACACCTTGTCTTAAGGCAGCAAGCTATAGGTTTGTATACACATTTGCAAAGTTCCCACCAAAATCCACAAAGATCTGTTCCCCGTATATGAGCAGAACAGTGCATATTTGTGACCAAAATGCTCACCATGTAACTGCAAATACAAACGCATGGTTGTATTTGAAATCTTTTAAGCGAAATGGAAGCCAACAATGACAAATCAGAGTGCAACTACCAACAACAGTGGCCTATCCCATCACATAGAAGGAAATGATAGAACTGTGAGAAGAAAATCAACTTGGGGAAGAGATGGATAACATGATAAAATATTTGACATTAGAATGGTAAGTTATTTGCCCTCCACACAAGTGCACTTACAGTAGAAAGCCAGAATTTGACGTAGGAACTTGTGAGACATTTCAGGGGCATACGATAAGGTCACAATACACGTAATAACAAATTAAAAGGAACTACTAAATAAGAAAGATATGGCCAACCAAATGACAAGCCTATAAAGAAGACAGCAACCATGAGAGGAGAAGCCCAATAACAGACGGATTACCTTGAAAATAAATCCACATCATCCAATTGGGTACGCAAGAGGATACAAGGTTTGGTGAATAACATCATTTTCCAGCATCTAAAAGACTAAAACCAACCATTGAAATATACTACCTATTTCCAAAATGGTTTTGATCATTTTATACTGCTATTATTTTATAATATCAAAAAAGCTTCATGTTTTCACATCATCAGATGAAATGTAACCAATGAATGAAAACAAAGTATTGACAGCCAGGCCATGAAATGACTGGTGATAAATAAAGGAATATCACAATGCTTGGGCAATCTAGTTTAGAATAAGCAGATTTTGGCAGCCTGGGAATTATTCACAACATGACCTAGTGTGGAAATACAAATGTACGATTATTTCTCTAATAGAAAATTATTCGTGCCCAAATGTATATTTTGTCGCCGATATTTGGTGACTCAGACCATGAGCTTTCTTCAATACTAGTATCAAGCCAGAATTTTGATCCCAACAGAGCACCACATCTTAAATCCCCACCTTCAAAAGGTAACAGCGCAGAAAGGCAATAAAAGTATGGCTGGTTGTGAAGCGATTACCACAATGCCCCATTGGGCATTTTTTAATTTAGTACGAGATTAATTAGAACATAAGAGTAGTCGGCCAGTCCCCCACATCGCTTCGTACTACGCATGCACATGTGGTGCTCATGTGAGACCCCGAGGTGTGTGCAGAACAGGCGTGTCGTGCAGTGTAGTGGGAATGACAAACCAACAAAATTTAAATTTAGAGAGGTAAGATGCAGGAAGGGCAAGAATTACCTCGAAAAGGGATTGCCGAACTAATAAGCGAGAAGAGAGGGGGTGGACTTAGGGTAACCCTTAGGTTTAGAAAGGGTGAAGGCCCGAGTGCCAATGGTTAAACCATCGAGCACAAGAAGGATAGGGGTGATGGATTTGCTAAAGACCTAGGCTATCTAAACCAAACCATTGGAGATGAGGATTATAAAATCCCGGATCCGTACATGCGACGAGCAAATAGGCTCCATTGACAAAGTGTGTGCGTGACTCAAAGAGTGAGCACGGCAAGAGTGCGAAGTGAAATAAAAAAAAGTGACATGACCCGGAGAAGTCACTAGTTGGTCAGCCGGCCCCCCCCATCACTCCGCACTATGCATGCATGTGTTGTGCTCGAATCTGACCACAAGGTGTGTGAGGATAAGCCATGTGGTGCGAATGGAAAACCAACAAAATTTAAATTTAGAGAGGTATGATGCACGAAGGTCAAGAATTACCTCGAAATGGGATTGAGTTCAGACGTGTCTAGGCTGTAGCCCTCTTAGATCCTGGATTTTGATGCTACGAAAAACCTTCCTACATTCGTCGACCGGTACAACACGAGGGCTCCCAGTCTCGAAAATTCTCCCAAAAGGGTGACAAGAGGGGAGCCGGACCTACGTTGTCGATAGCCGCAAGCTTAGAAACATGGTTTGATTTCACTCCCTCGCATGACTTGTCGTGCTAAAGTCTACGTGTCGCACATGATTGGCAATGGGTCTAAAGGGTTGTTGCAGTTTGGTTTTGATGGACCTAGGTATAGGCTAGATCTAGGTTGGTTGGTTGGGTGTATGTTTTAGTTGAGATTGATTGGGGTGGTGTGAGCTAGGGTGAGTTCAAGTTGGTTCGAGTAAGCAAGAAAGGAGGAAGGGCTACCCAAATCCAGCAGCACTTCCCCTATCAAAATAAAGGTGCTCTGTAATTAACTGAAGCACCCCGGAGGAGTCCGCTTTTCAGGGTCCGACGGGTCTAAGCCCACTTGACCGCTGCCTTGGAAGAGCCTCATTAATGGGCTGACCTAAGTGAGTTGGAAAGGGTCGAGTCAAGTGGTCTCAAGCGGGTTCAGGTAGGCTAGGTTTAAGTGGTCTTAGTTGGGCTTGGTTAGGGTTAGGGTTTGTGGTATGGTTAGGGTTTGGGTTTGGAGTATGGACTGAGAATGGTTAGGGTTTGGGGTATGGAGTGTGGTTAGGATTTGAGGAATGAGTATGGTTTGGGGTATGGTTAAGTTAAGATTAGGGTTTTGATAACCTGTTATAGTTGGGTTAGGCAAACTAAGGTGTGGTTAGACTAAGGTTAGATTTGGATAAGGGCATGGGCTCTCTTGCAAAAATTCTCCCCTTTCATGATGATAGAATTAATACAATGTACCATTTATCTCTAAAAGTTTTTCTTAGAGAGAGAAGATGTTGGTACGTGTGGGTGGCCATCACACGTGCCATATTTTTCTCTCTTAATCTAATTAATATTTGTCTTAATTAATATAATATAGTGTTTATCACTAAAAAAAATTCTTAGAGAGAGAAGATGCTTTTATCCAACGCATAGTAGATAACTACCCATCTCCCAGGAAAAGAGGGCCACCTTCTCAGAGATTCCAAGAAGAAAGCCAAACGTTGGAGAACGACCTCCTCTCATCCCTCTATAAGTAGGGTTTCATGGCTATGGAGAGGCACATAGAAAAAAACAAACACAAAGTTCTCAATAGTTTTGGAAAGCCCTCTCTGCGATTTACAGTCTAATGATATTGCCTTCAATACCTAGGTTTTGGAGGGTTAATGCCTTCCCCACAAAATTTCAACACCGGTATTAGAGCAAAGTTTGTTGTGCTACTATAATTTTTCCATTCTCAAATTCATGCAATTCATAGTCGCTTGAGCCGTGAGTCAATCCTTTATTATTCGTTGTTATCTCCAGCATATTGTTCCATTGTTGATTTTCTCTCATTGGCGTCATATATCAGTGAAATTCGTTGGGATGTTTTGATGTTATTTGTTGCTGTTTTTTTTTTTATTAGCGTATTCTCTCTCTTTAATTCATTCTGCAATATGCTAAAGTAAATATTTGCATTTATCTACTTGTGATGTAAATAAGTTTAACCTTTAACCTATTAACTCTTGAATATTAGCCTTTTCTCTTAAAGACACTTTAACGTTTAACCTATTAACTCTTGAATATTAGCCTTATCTCTTAAAAGCACTTTAACGTTTAGCCTATTAGCTCTTGAATATATGCCTTATATCTCTTAAAGGCACCTCTGCAATCAATTTCACTGTTGTTTTTGCTTTGCCTTTGCTCAAAAGCATCCAATATCAAGAAGTACCAACAACGTTTTCTTTTTTCTAAGATAATACATCCATATTTGATTTCTTTTTGAGAATCAATACTTGAAGTAAGAGAACACATCCTCAAAAATAGCGAGCTCTTTTCTCTCTCTAAGTTATCTACATTTAATTTTGGGATTTCTTTTCTCTCTCTAAACCTCCCTTAGAAACTGCTGAATTTTAGAGAGGGTGAGTCTCAAAACCGCTGAAATTTTAGAGAGAGAGAGAGAGAGAACGATTGCTGAAATTTTTAGAGAGAGAGGTAAGGAGACACAACTGCAGCTGAAAATCAGTAACTATTTTATATACATATTATTCTGATATATATATATAGACATATAGATATATATATATATATATTAAAAAAAATTGCTTTTATTTCTGCTACATATTTAGTCAGATGTATTTATTTGTTTTTTATTTAGCATGCTTGATTGATAATTTAGGGATATCTCTAAACCTATACTTTGGCATGTTTAAATTGGTAAATTTCATGACCTTGATTTTGTAAATTCATTTTTGTGATTACGTTATGCCATATTTTTGTTGAAAGTATCAAATATCATTGTAGACTCTCTCTCTCTCTCTAGAGCTAAAACACATCATATATTTATGAAAATTAATCTTATGCAGGAATTGACATAAAGTAGTTTGTTGCCTTATTTTTTTTAGTTCCTTGCATCGCAGCAGTGCGAACATAAATTGTTCGAGAAATTCTTCTTTGAGGTTGCAGCTCACTAAGAGTCAACAAACCTATTGATTTGACTAGCAGACAACCCTTTTCTTAAACACAATTAAATTTTTGAGCTTTTAGGCATTAACTAAAATTTAAAATGGTGTCTAGGCTAGTCATGTCAGAACTATCAAAACTTGAAAAACTCATTAGAACTATTTTTTTTTATGTGGAAAAGAAAAATTAGATATATTCTCTTCCAAGATAGGGTGGATTATGT